CCCCTCATCCCCAGCCCCACCCCAGAGCCCGCACCCGCAGCCCTCATCCCCTTGCACCCCAACCCCCTACCCCACCCCAGAGCCCGCAGCCCAAACCCCTCACCCCAAACCCCTCATGAATGGGGGAGGCAACCTAGTGACAGATGATGTGGAAAAAGCTGAAATACTCAATGCTTTCTTAGCCTCGGCATTCACAAACAAGGTCAGCTCCCACACTGCTGTCCTGGGCAACACAGTATGAGGAAGAGGTGAGCAGCCCTCAGTGGTGAAAGAACAGGTTAAGGACTATTTAGAAAAGCTGGACATGCACAAGTCCGTGGGTCCAAATCTAATGCACCCGAGGGTGCTAAGGGAGTTGGCTGATGTGATTGCAAAGCCATTGGCCATTATCATTGAAAATTCGTGGTGATCGGGGGATGATTGGAAAAAGGCAAATATAGTGCACATATTTAAAAAAGGGAAGAAAGAGATCCTGGGGAACTACAGACCGGTCAGCCTCATGTTAGTCCCCCACAAAATCATGGAGCAGGTCCTCAAGGAAACCATTTTGAAGCACTTGGAGGAGAGGAAGGTGATCAGGAACAGTCAACATAGATTCACCCAGGGCAAGTCATGCCTGACCAACCTGATTGCCTTCTATGATGAGATAACTGGCTGTGTGGATATGGGGAAAGCAGTGGACAGGGCCCTCCTTACCCATACACAAACTACGCAGCTGCGTGCTGCTCCAGTGGCCAGCCCGATCCCCTGGCCAGCCAGGAAAGCTACCTCTGCGACCACTCCACCCCTTCCCCATAGCCCCCACCCCTGCCCCACCTCTTTCCACCCCTGCTCCGCCCTCATCCCACCCCCACTCTACCCCTTCCCCTGAGCTACATCCCGGGAGACTGCAGCAGGGGTTGGGCACGCCCTGCAATCACCGGGCAGCAGGAAGTGGAGCGACCCGGCCCCAACCCCCTCTGCTCCGCTGGCTCGTACTGGGGGATGTTTCCCCCTTGCCCCCCAAGCCCCAAGCCTGCTCTTGCCCCCCACAGACCTTCGGCACAGCCCCTCCCCCCGACAGAGACCTGAGGCCAGGCCCCTTTGCGTAGGGCACCACAATGCCTAGGGACAGCCCTGGCAGTGGACATGATATATCTTGACTTTAG